CTCTGGCCATGGTCAATACGTGCGTGGGCAGCGCCGATCGCATGCAGCAAATCCTGTGTGTTGCCTTCTCCCAAATACGGGAATGGGATCAGCAAAATGTGGTCATGACGGGGTCCACCGATGGTGTTGTCAGGGTGAGTGGGCCACACCTCAACAGTTGTTATTATATCTTGATTTGATAACATTTCTTGTTCCATGCAGATGTGGTCGCTGGAGCACACTCAAGTTCCCATCGACCGGAAGCTGAAGCGTGGCGTGGAAGTTAACTCGCAGGACAAGCCCGACGCAGGCTCCGCTGATGAATCTCACAATAAGTCAGACAAGATGAATATTTTCAAGCAAATGAAGAGCCTCTCACAGCCTGAACCGGATCATGGTTGGTTAACAGAATTTAATTGATTGAAGTAACAATCAAAAACTATTTAAACTTTTTCAGAGATTGTAAAGTCTGCCTCGGAGAGCAGCATTTCAGAAGCGTCGCAGCACAGCAATGAGTCCAGTCAATCAGTTAAAGTGGAAACATCAGCGGAACGCAGAAAGAGCTCCATTAGCGGTGCTAAATCGCTGCATGAAATGAAATCGGCCACGGTAGAGGGAGCCAGCGGCAGTTCAGAGCATAAAACAAATGATGGTGAGTTAAGTATATCAAAATATCAATTCTGATAGTTAACTAATGCTTCTGGTATACCCTTTACAGAGGAGCACAGCATTCGTCCTAGCAAATCGGACACCAGCTTAACAGACGGCTTCGTTATGTTGGACAACGACAGACATCGCGGCGAGCAGGCGCTTAGAAAAGGTGCTTTAACTCAAACAATCTAAAACCTACCCGCGAGAGCAAAACATTTCTATTCCGTTCTATCCGAATGCTTCGCACTATTACTAACATTTTGCATCATATTTTCCCCAGGCTTTAAGTGGCAACGTCAATTAATGTTCAGATCAAAGCTAACCATGCACACGGCCTATGATCGCAAAGATAATGCCGAACCAGCTAGCATAACAGCTCTGACAGTATCCAAAGATCATAAGATTCTTTACGTAGGTGAGTGCAGGAGACAAACATATTAACAGACTATTCCCTCAGACTAACATTAATCATTTTAATTGCACAGGCGATGCACGTGGCCGCATTTTCTCTTGGAGCGTCACAGAGCAGCCCGGTCGCGGCGTAGCCGATCATTGGCTCAAGGATGAGGGCGCCGAGCAGTGTGTCAAGTGTCATGTGAAGTAAGTTCCCATTCGAAATATGCTGTGTATATTGGAAATGAATATACAAAAGACTATGTGGAATCAAGTTATGAAATAATAGAAATAATAGACGTACTACGGGGTATAATGAAGTAGCAACAGTCTGTCTAAGTCAATAGTTATACTATTAGCTTTAAAGGGTTTTTGAGTGGCTTTTGCTCTGCAAGTTTCTTAAGGCCTATGCGTGAAATTTCTTACTTCTTATGTAATTACGAAAGAATAAGGTATTATGCTTGTGTATATATAATCCCTTATTCTATCGTAATTTAAACACCTCTAATTTGTATGTAGATCAGCCTAATGCCTTTATATTCTGATTGATCTTCGTAATAATATTAAATATACTTGCATATCTTATTTTCTTTCAGATTTACACTGTATGAACGGAAGCATCATTGTCGCAATTGTGGTCAGGTCTTTTGCAATAAGTGCAGTCGCTTCGAATCGGAAATATCGCGTTTGCGTATTCTGAAGCCAGTTAGGGTATGCCAGGCCTGCTATAGCCAGTTGCGTGCGAGTTCCCTGGACAATTAAAAAACAAAAAACGGGGTCTACGATTACCTATGATTCAATAACGAATTTCGATAACTACGTTCACTTTCTATTGCAGAAAAAAACTATTGTAACTGTAAAAGACGTTAGGGGCATTCATTTAAATACGACTAATTTATTTATATTTATATAACTATATATTTATTTAGTATATTTTTTAACCAAAAGCAAAAAATGTGTTGCGCTAAAAAATAAACAACCAAAGGCTGTTATATGATTTTAAATTACTATTTTTTTTAGTAAAAAGAAAGTAAAACAAAACTTGTTGCAATATTATTTTTGTATACTTAATTTTAACTATTTATTATACACCGAATAAAACAATAAAAACAATATTGCTTATACGCCACAATCATTGAAAATTGTAGTGAAGTATTAATTGAATTGTGTAATTATATAAATTATATAAATATTTAAATATATATAAACATTTTGTGTGTAGCATCCAAATTTTGCGCATGTATTAAAGCTGCTTAGTGATGCCACTAGCGCACAATAAAATATTGTTATATGAAGTAAATGAATATAGAACACTATAAAAGTATAAAGATAGGGAATGTATGTAGTAGCCAAAACATAAACAGAATCCAAAATCAATAATTAGCTTACCAATAAACAAACAAGCAAACAAGCACCGCCAGTTATATCAATTACAAGAAAACAAAAAACCAACTGAACTTCAATGAATTTTCTAGTAAATAATGTAATCAAACCACATTTGGAGACAGATTTTTATGGAGCACACAAAAAAGGGAAGAAAACACCTAATTAGCACACACAACACACAAACCTCACACTAAAGATTTATACACATATACAACAGCAACAGAAAAGTGAAGAGAAACTACCTAAGCCGAGTATTAAAAAAAATAAATAAATAAAAAGACATTTAACTTCCAAATGAACAAGGATATTTTGATTAAAAAGCAATGGATTAAATTGTAAATGTATTAAATGAGTCCGTAAATATAAAAGCAATAATTTAAATTGCTTATTAATTCAACTGAGAGATAACTAAACAAGTAAAAAGCTAAAGTTAAACAGGAAGTTAAACACTTTTTTATGTGTGGTGTCAGAGAGTTTTTTTAATTTCAACTTTTTCCATTCTGTAACTATAATATATATTTTTGATTAATTATTTATTCATTTTCATATTCATTTTCATTTTCTACAGCCTCTTACTTTGGCTCTCTAAACCTAAAAAACTTTGTATATATAAAAGACAAATAATGAAGCAAACAATAAATGAGATTTAGAACAAATAATAATAATATTTAGTTAAAAAAATGTCGTAGTGGTAATTAAACAAAACAAAAATTATTAAAATATATTCGGTATTTTGTAGAGCATCTACATGTTGCATTGATAATAATTTACAAATATTATATACATGTGACGGCTATATACAAAAATTATTGTTGTTCTAACAACACATAAATAACATATTTCAATTTAAACAAGGCAAAAACTCCCATGAACAGATTTGTTAAGGCTCCCGAGCCTGAGGCAACAACAATTAAGTACATTTTCAAGAAGACTTATGAAAACAAGGCAAAATAAGCACATTCTACAACTAAAGAAAAATAAACAAAACAAAAAACACATTTCAAGAACTATCCAAAGACTAAGCCAGAAATTCTTACATTTCAAAATAAAAGAACATAATTTTACGATGAAGGAACCTTAGCCAATTAAGTCCAATACAAGAGAACACCACAGAAAAATCCAACACGACTAAAAAACGAACCCAAATAACTATTATATATTATATGAAAAAAAAAATAT